TCGCGCAACATGGCACCCACACTTGGGCACCAAGGCAACCAAGGTGGGATGCCTAGGCGCGGCTACCCAGTAGGCCCAGCAGCGCTAGCATGCGCGCAATGGCCTAGCCATGCTATTGCTAGTTGTTGTGGCTGGCGCGCATTGCGTGCTAGCTGCTGCGGCTTATTGCGGCATGGCTGCTAGCCAATGCGCGCACAAGGCAGCCACATAGCAGCGCTAGCACGCACTAGGCTATGCCTAGTATTGCGATGCTAGCCACCATGCCCCTAGCACTCGGTTTGCTCGGGGCATTCCGATGCTATGGGTATTTTGGTCTTTGTTGATTTATTATTTTCATGTCTCGTCTTTTATTTTTTTCCGACTCGACTTTCGATGTTCGGTTTCAACGCTATAAGCTCGAATTCCCGACGTCTAAATATTTATTACTCGGTTGACTTATTAATTAATTCATAACTAATTAGTCGCTTCGGTTCGTTAGTTGTTTGGGTGTGACCCGAATGGTTCAGTCAAGATTAAGCTGTAATATTAATTATGCATTAATATTACTGATCGGAAGCGGCCTCCACCCAGGAATTCCGATCACTTGACCTTACTGAATATATTAGCTTTCTAATAATTCTGAACCCACTAACGGAATAGTACACTTGTTCGAAGGACACCATTCCTTTCAGTTTTTTGCCCATGCGATGCCTAGATGGTTGGTAAAATTTTAGTATAAACTTTTGGTTATGATGTTAAATATGATCATATAATACTTTATTATTATGTAAGAAATTTAAACATATGATGCCATATCGTTTATTTATAAAATAGAGTACTTTTGATTAAAAAGTATATTTAGTTTATAAAATATAGATTATTCAAATAGTATAAAATAAAAGCAAGTCCCAGTTTATAACCTAGATAAACAATAAATATTTATCAAATATCATTTTAGTAAATAAGTTGCATTGAAATTTGTATTTTTTAATTAAAAAATATATTTTTACTGTTTGTGGGCCATTGTGACAAATTCGAAAAAACTTTTAGAGTTAACACTGTTAACTCACCATTAACTTCAATTCACCTTCTTTTTCCTCCCACATTCTTTCTCTATTCATGTTTTTTTCTATAATGGGTCATCGTGTTTTTAACAAAAATCAAACCATAAATCATACTAAGTTTCTTCCCTCCCACCTTATTGTGTTGTTAGCAAGTGGTTGTGTATGAAGTGGTCAAGTGGAGCCATTACTTACTATGGGTAACCGTACTTTTACTTCAAAAATCATACCATAAATTACACTATTTTTTCTTCAATTCCCACCCACCTCCAATCTTCTTCCTCCAATCACTACTCCACTAGAACCACCATTTTCGTCGGCTTCGCTGGCAAAATTAAACGAAAATCCTAATAAAAAAAAAGAGAAATTAATGGTATGATTAGCCCAAATGGGTAGCTGAGTTTTCTTTCATCCATTAAATTTGACTTAACAACACCATTAGGAGCGGCTTCGCTGCCGAAATTAAAAGAAAACCCGAAAAACAAAGTGAAAATAAAGTGCATGGTTAACCTTGAAGGGTAAGTGCTTTTCTACCTCCATTGATTTTGATTTGTTAAATGTTGTAGTGAAAAGGTGCACTTTCCACCATTGAAATTGAAGATTGAAGGAGGAGAGAGAAAACAACAAAAGATTGAAGGAGGAAAAAGAAAATAAAAAAAATAGCAAAAGGATAAATGAGGAAAGAGAAAACAGCAGTTAACTAAAGTTATACTCCCTTCGTGTTTTTTTAAGTATTACAGTTTTACCGCCACATAGTTTTAGGCAATTCAATTGACTTAAATAAAATACGAGGTAAGTGGGGTTGTTGGAGTATTAAAAATTGTAAAAGAAAAATAGTGGGGTTGATAGTTTATTGAAAGTAATGAATGTGAGAGGAAATATATAATAAAAAAGTAGTAGTGGGTTTAGGTGGGGACCATGAGAGGAGAGAGATATAATACTTTAATGTAGCTTTTTGCCAAAAAAGGAAGTGTAACACTTAAAAAAACACGAAGGGAGTAGGTAATTTATATATACACCTCTTGATAAACATTTCAAGGTTATAAACTTGTATTTTCTCAAAAAATAAGATATCTATATTATTATTGACTTGATATAATTTTTATTAAACTTAAAATATTTTACCGAAATGAAAGTATTTTACAAATTAAAATTATATTTATAAATTAAAACTTATTTTTACTAATTCTCTAATACTATTTTTTAAATAAATTAAATATATTATAAATGGATCTTATTTCATAGAATTTTTTAAAATCATTTTTATGGTAAAAAAAAAATTGATTTAATTAATGATATTTATTTGAGTAATGATTAATTTTGTATATATGAAATATTAGAAGTATATCAATAATAAACTCTATACAACAATTGTTTGGGTGTTTTCTAGTCCCTCAGGAAAGTTACATCACCAAGAAAAATTGATTTAATTAATGATATTTATTTGAGTAATGATTAATTTTGTATATATGAAATATTAGAAGTATATCAATAATAAACTCTATACAACAATTGTTTGGGTGTTTTCTAGTCCCTCAGGAAAGTTACATCACCAAGACTCCCGCGCGGTCTGTACCTGCAAAACACGAAGACTCCAATTGGTAGGAGCTCCGCCTCCGACGATCAAGTTAATATTCGTCGAAGAAGATGAAAGGTGAAGAAAAGGTAAATGTGAGATTTCCTTGAATTCCGAGATCAGGTGTTTTCTCTGATGTGAGAAATTGTAGGTATTTTGTAATAAATGAACCTATCCCAAAAATGGGGAAAATCTCCCTATTTCTAGGCTTGTTGGAAAAAGTATCCTTTCTTAAGTCATTCTGACCTAAGTTTGGTGGGTTGTTCCATATTACGGCTTTCTTGGTATTTGGGCCTTGAAGGCAGCCTTTTCTCCCAATTGTATGGAGGGACACGTGTCATAAGGTGATTAATCCATTTGAACCTTTCATGGGTTAACATGTGTCACTTTTTGATAACGCCCCATGGCTTGGGTAATTTTACCCAAAACATTTCCCCTCACAGATGTGACGTGGCGTGCCACAGGGCATCCGTGACATTTATCACTCATGCATTGGGGTATTAGTTTTACTATTCACCCATCTGGGAAAATTACGAGATCGCCCCGGATTTTACCCTCTATAAATATATCTTTGCCCTACATTTTTTGCATATTCACGAAAAAGTTTGAGAGAATCTAAGAGGATCTTTGACTTTTCTAAGAGAACTTGTCATCTGTCATTTGCTTGCAGTCTGCCAGCTACAACCAATCTCATGTAGTCTTCAACATTACCTTAATACAAGGCAACCGTCTGCTTTTTCTCTCTTTTAATTTTTGCTTTCTGCCTGTGTTTGCTTTCCCTTTTTATAAATGGTTTCATAAACACACACCACATAACCTAGGATAGATGAAGTCGGTCACCTGGGATGGCTGGATCTAAAACTAGGGGTGCCGCCTGCCCTATCCTACACTCTTCCCAAAATTCAGCCGTCTCTATGTCTATGCAGGACACTATGGCCAAAACTAAGAGGACAGCTCTAGCGTCCAGCAATGAGGAGGACGAGGGTCCTATTAGGGTGCCTAGGAACAAAATCTCATATTATCCGCCTAGCACCCCCAAGCACGCCGAATGACTCTATTTTAGACGAGTCAGATAACGATTCCAATGATGGGTTACCTAGCTCTGAGCAAGGGTCATCCCAGACGAATGCCCTTACAGGTGGCTCTAAGGACGAAGAAAGGTCGTCTAAGGTAAACGAGGAAGAGTCTGAGGGAGAGGTCGCCTCTACTGAGAGAGGTCAAGAAGAGACTTCTTCCTCCCTTCAAGAGCAATGTACCCCTTACTCTACCCATATTTTTGCTACAACCCAAAGACTCATGCGGAAGAACTTAGAGGACATCCAGGACACCTATTTAATGGGTGCTGATTATCAAATTAACATCCATACTCTTGAGGAAACAGTCGTCTGGCCGCTTAAATAGAGCTATGAAGATTCTAGCTTAGGGTGCTATACGACCGCAATACAGGCGAGCCTCAAGTTTCCCTTGGATCCAACTGTTGAAAGAGTCCTAGATGGTTACCGTTTGGGGATATGGAAATATCCCCCAATTCTTGGGTTAACATATTAGGTTATGTGGCTGAATGCAGGTTGCATGGGGTAGAACAAAGTTTTGAGGCGTTTGCCTCTATGCATTATCTGAGCAAGGCTACAAAGTTAGCCGGACCCAACTAGTATACCTTAACTTATAACAAAGGTTACATTATGACTCTTGGAAAAGATTCTAAGTGAAAGACTAGAGGAACAAGTTCTACATAATTTCCATCCCAAACACCACCCGAAACAAAAAATTCAATTCCTGGAAAAATTCTCCTGCCTGTACCTGAAGAAGGTTGGGATCATATTTTTTTAACACTTGGGTTGTTTAAGGTTGATTCAAAATAGTAAAGGGAGGAACTGAGAGGGATATTGTCCGGAATAGTTATATCCCTAGGTTTGAATGGCTTAGGGATCCTGTTTATCTAGCCTTTTGTGGCCTTAGTTTAGAAAAAGGAAAAGGTGGGTGGCCGGATGAGTGTTTTGTAGCGCATTTTTCATTTTGTTTGTTTATTTTGATAACCATACATTCAGTCTCTTTGCAGAGAAAGCTATGTCTCAGCTAACTCCAAGCAAAAAAACCCAGCAACTCAGCATGCGCCTACCGCCAGATGATCCGGCAAAAGAATCAGATCTTCAAGAAGGACCAACTTGAGCACGTAAGCTCCCTAACATCCATTAATTTGACTCTAATCAATTGCCTAGTTTTTGCTAAGTGTTGTGATTTTACATGAGGGATCTGTCAAGCCTCCAGTGCTTTTAGATTAAAACGAGAGCCCCCCCCCCCCCCAAATGACCTTCTACTGGGGAGGGGCAGACACCCAAGAAGTAGAGGAAGCCGATTGCTCACAAGCCGTCTGGGAACAAGTCCAATTCTGACCCTTAACTGGCGGAAAGTCGACAGCTACTATGGCTATCTTAATGTAGGCGCAGGAATCTTAGTCCTCCAAGCATAGGCCTTCTATTAGCGCTGTTGAGTCTCCAAGTGGTCTTTCTATAAAGCGGAAGGACAAGTGTGTCCAAGACTTGGTTGTGATCCCAGGTACCAATGCCTTTAACCCTTTTCCTTACCCTTATAGGGTTAAGACTTATAACCAGCTGTCTAACAATTCTGAAGCCAGCCTGTCTATTGGCCAGATCTATGCTAACCTCTCACCAAATAATGCATGTGCATATGCCCTTTAAACGCTGAATGCATAGCAACTGGCCAAGAATATGCTTAGGGTCGTCTCTACTGAGCAGCGAGAATCCGTTAAGGGAGTCGGAACCCTAAACTTCGACGCCATACTGCTACTCCTGGCTGAGTTAACCTTCTTTAAAGTTAGAATATTTTATCAAGTCTTTGCTTAACCGACTGCATATTAAAAGTCTTATATTTTGGCCGAATGTAGGCCATGCTGAGAATGAATGGGCTTGAAAAGCCATTCAACGATAAATAGAAAGAGGTAAGGGATACCAACCAAAGGGTTGCTTCCAATCTTAACCAGGCGATGTTTGATGTAAATAAAACTGAGGCACAAACTCAAGATATCCAGTACTCGCATGCGACTGCAAATTTGCAAGTAAAAAATGATTTGGAGGTGGCCTAGAAGAGGGTAACTAAGATCAAGGAGCAGCTGAAGATGGCCAAGATTGAGCTTAAGGAGGAGCTGAAGACAGCCAGGATTGATCTTGGCAAGCTGCAAGACGTTAGCAAGGACACAATCAGTCTCCGCCGCTAGAACGAGAATTTTAAAAAATGGCTTGTCAACAAGGAGGAGCAGCTCAGGTCCAAGTTTGCTGCCCGTGCTGAAGAATAGAAGCGGCTACTCATCGAAGAGAATGAAACCGACTGCATGCATCACCCGAATGAAGATGGCGTGGAAGGCTCTATTTCCCAAGGACGATTACTTCATCTGGGAGTATCACTTTGAGGAAGCCACTGATTCCCTGGATGAGGAGCGGCAGTAGGCGGAGCAAGAGGCTGAGGGCGAAAGAATGGAGGTCTTGGATGACGATGAAGGGAATAAGGACAACTAGCTCAACGAGAATCATCCAGCCAATGAAGGAGAAATGGCGGAGAATGAAGTGGAGTCCTCCCCCAAAGCTGATTAGTTTAAGTTTCTACGGCCAAATGGCCTTTCAAATACATTTTTGGCCTGCGTGCCGAGTATCATTGTTCTTTCACTTGTAGAAAATAACAAATTAGCACCGAGTAATGCCCACCGGTTTTTGAAAAAAAAATGGGCGGGACTTAGTTTAATAGAAAGGCCACCGGTTCAAACCCAACCGGTGGCATTAAAAAACCGGCCTTTTATTTCCCTATGCGGCTTTTCACCTTATTCATTCTCTTTCCCTTTCTTTTTTCATTTTCTTTCTCTCTCCTCATACGTCTCCCTGTCTCCTCAACCAAACCCTAAGGCTCTTTCTTCTCCTCGCCATTCCCTTCTTCTCCCTCGAACTCCCTTCTCTCTCCATTGAAGCCTAGATCCGTTCTCTCTCAATTATTCATGTTAAATTGCCTTTGTTCGTCAATAATCGGAAATCTGAGGTTAGTGTTTCTGGGTTCTTTAGATTTGCGTTTTGGTTCAATTATTCATGTTAAATTGCCTTTGTTTGGTTGATAATTATAAATTCAGATCTCAAATTTTTTTGGGGGTTTTTTTTATAGCATTTTTCTCGGGGTTTTTGGGGGTAATTTTAGCTAATAAATTGATTTTTTTCTGGGTATTTTTGGGTTTATTTTACTTCTCGAGTCCTCTGCTTCAGATCTTGATTATTGGTATGTATGTACTTTCCTTTTTTTTTTATTTTAAATTTGATTTATTTTTTAATTGTTAGGTTTTTTGTTGTCTGCAAATGCTTGTTTAATTTGCTTGATGGAAATTTGGTTGCATGAAAGTAAGGATCTGCGTGATTTTATTGTGTAAATGTTGGAGGTGATTACTGCGCAAAATTTGGCTGCCCAGATTGATGTTAGTTTGATGGCTACTGTTTATAATAAGAACAATATTAATCAATGCAAAATTAAGGTATTGTTTGATTGTGGTTGTTTTGGTTGTAATAATGATGATGATTTTGCTACTTGATTGTCACTTAGAAGTTAGAACACATTTTGTCCTGTAAATTTCGAAATAGTAGTATAAATTAAATATTTATAAGGGTAATTTTGAATACCCATCAGTTTCTCAGGTCATGTATGTGCTTCAATCGGTAGAACTGTTCTAATTCCTTCCTTGTACTACTTTTAATGCTGAAACCTTTATATAATTAGTTCTTTTTTTTTTGTTTTTGGTGTTTTATGCAAGCATGACACAACTGATTGCAATAAACTCATAGTTTTCTCAATGTTTTTCTTAAGTATTCTTGGGATCAGGCTCTCTAATCTCAATACAGAAATCAGTGTTTCTTATGCTTGCTCCTTGTTTATCTCAGTGCGGACAATGATGGAACTTATGGTGATTCAGATGCCCCCAAGGAGAACAACTCGAAAAAGAGGTATGTTTTATCTTCTTTCTATTTATTTTGGTAATCTTATTCTTGGACCTTTATTATTTAATTAAGCTCTACTGATTTTTGCCAAAAAAAAGTTCACTAGAGTTATGTGACATTAATATTAGAAGATATATCTCAAATGTGCTAAGTTGGAGAGATTAACAATGAATCAGACTAGCTGAACCTTTGTTCTTGGATTGTGAGCGTGTGAGAGATTGTGGCCTTGTTAATTTTTGGTCCTGCTTTCAGTTTACTACCATCTTGTTTATTGATTAAACATGAAAAGTGGCTTTTATTTTGATTAATAAATAATAATCGAGTATCAACTTACATAATGTGGTAGGGCTTAAATGATATTTAATCATACTACAATACTACATCACTTTTCCATCATATTCAATTTATATTTCTAAAAACTCACTTCATTTGTGCATTGGACGCCTTATGTGAGGCACTAAGGGAATGTTGTTGTGGTGAGGTATGTTTTTATTGGTAATGTTAGTAAATCATATCATGTTCTCTATTACAGGAGAAGATCTGAATCATGTGCACCATCTAGCTCCAAAGCTTGCTGATAGAAGGCACGTAGAGACTGACTTAATGACAAGTTAGTTTTCCTTCCTTCTATTTATGTTTGTCAGATTAATAGGTTTGTTCTGGTTATAGATACGGCTATCTGGTAGAATTGCTTGTAGCAGGATACACAATAGGTACTTGTTGCTTTGCATTTGTTAGTGAAATAACGTTTTACATCTTTGTGTAGGTTTATGGAATTAGGTGCAATTTTGGAACCTGATAGAACTCCCAAGATTGACAAGGTTAACCGGTGGCAATACTAGTTTTTGCCACCGGTTTTGAACCGGTGGCTTTGTATCAAACTATTGCCACCCCCCAAATGACCACCGGTTCAGAACCGGTGGCATAGGGGGGTTTTGAACCGGTGGCCAAATGCTTTTTTCTACTAGTGTTTTAACGACTATGGGGTTGGGTTTATATAACTTGTCACTGGTTAACCGATTAACAATTTTTATGTTGGTTGACCAAGGGGTTAGCTTTTTAATGATGAATCATCCGGTCATTAGGTCGGTTTTTAACAATTGTGTTTTTTTTCTTTTTTTGAATGTTTGCATCTATATGATACAGGAGGTTTATCAGGTGTTTTTGCCCTTGGCCGGATGTATGCTTGGGTTTAAGAGTAGGTAAATTGAATTGGAAATTTTTGATACTTAAAAGAGTATGACTAACTTCTAAGTCAATCAATCACTACGGTGATTTCCCCAAACCAAGCCTGCCTCCGGCCACTGAGCTGCCGATGATGGAAACAGGCGGTCATTGACCTCTTCTAGGTAGCCGGATGGCTATTAAATTTTTAATTCGAGCCTTTGCCCCTTCATTCTGGCCATTTTCCCCACAAGGAGCAGGCGGACCAGAACATTCAATCTGCTTTCGCATGCCTGCTTTGCTTTGTCTCATAAACAGGCGGCCTTATAGCGTTGATCTATCCAGAAGGTCTTATTGATGCCGCTTGCCCGGTTTCAAACGGGTTGTTTAGGGCATACTTATTCCACGTAGATTTTTCAATCCAACGGGTTGGTCGTCTATGTATATTAGAAGCAATGAGTCATCTTAACTGAGATGAAACTCTATGCGACGAAGCCACCTCTATTGGGGTTAGGTAAGTCCAACTTACCATACCCCGACCCAAAGAACCACTCGCAATTAATAAAACCATAAAGCATAACAAATAAAAATAAAAGAATAAAATCAAAATTTACCTTTGACGCGTGCTTCGCCTGACCTAATGGGCTCTTACTTAGAAAGCTTTAGCTCCAAAAATACCGAGCCTCCAACGGTATCCACCCACAAAGGACGAACACCGACTTTTTAGGTCTGCTACATTGGAGTTAGCAAGGTCCGACCAAAACCCAAGTGTTAATGGAGTTTAAGAGTTTTTGCCAAAATTCAATGCTCTGTCTAACTCCCACTCAAGCAAAGAATTCTCAAGCCATGCTTTGGCTATTTATAAGGAAGGATAGCTTGTGAATTCCACTCATTTAAACAATTAGTTAAATAAACCAAGGAACAAGTAACAAGTGTCACATGGTTAGGTGAGGACCACTTTCCCACTTGGTCCCCAAGGCATTTCACATGCAATGTGAACTAACCATGTGTCACCCAACCTTGAGCCCCAAGTTGGGTTCGGTTGGGCCATTTTAATTTGGCCCATGTCCATGACCCTTCACCCGGGTCCAGGGCCTCTTGCAACACGTGTCGCCACCATCGCGTTGCCACGTGGCACGCTGCCAACGTGGCGACTGCCACTAAGTGGCTGCCACTTGACGGTTGCCAACGTGGCTGACACGTGTGCTGCCACATGGCATTTTTCCATGTATACTGCCACGTGGCACGCACCTAATAGGCGCGCTTTCCTAGCCTTTTGCGTGGCTAGGATTTTACTTATTACTTGAGTCAAATCTTAAGAACTTTATAGGAAAGGATGTGATCCATCATTGTTCGAGTCATTTTTAAATGGCATCGTGGTCTCCGTGAAGACACACTGTTCTTTGTGGAGTTATTTATGAAAAAATTCAATTTTATAACTTTGTGATGGTCACGCTTGGCTCAAGCCAACATCGCTCGATCTAATCTAGACGTTTTGATATTTTGCCAAGTCGATTTCGTACTTCACTGAACTCTTGAACTATTCAAGGTCAAGTTTGTTCACATTTGATGAATATACTCATATTCTTTCAAATTCTTTGTGAGACGTTGAAGTAAATGAATCCTCTTTAGCTTTCGGAGTCAATTGTCTATACCAAGAACAATAGCTCTTTACTTTGTCGGTTTCAACAAGTAAGACTTGCTTGTCATAGAACGATTCCAAAGAGCCTATCTAATAGAGCCTTGAGTATGTTCTTGTCGATATGACATTGCTAAAGATGTTTGGAACGCAAATCAAGCCCATGACTTGACTTTAATGAGTTTATCATGTAGGGAAAATTTTTGTTTATAATCAAGCATTCTTGACTCAACACTTGGATAACCATGCCATTCAAATAAATTTGCAACTATTGCTCATTGCTTTGAATGTGAGTCTTTCGTATGTAAGCGGATCAATTGCTGATTATGGAACACAATAACCATTTATTTTTTCCAGCCTTAGCTTAAAGGTCTTTAAACAAAGCATACGACCTTACAACTGATGTAGCACCACTTGCTTCATTCTAAGCTTGCAAGTCGATAACTTAGCTTATCTTCAATAGTTTGAGGTTTCTTTCAAAGTGGAACACTCAAGTAGTATCCGATACATGTAAAGATAACGAATTGCTAAGTTAACTTCAATAACATGGATTCTCATTCCTTTTCTTTGTTCCTTATTTCCTATATTTCTTATCATACTTTATCTCATAATCTTTTAAGAACCATTTCTTTAAGAGTCTTTAAATTTTATACTTTGTCAGGCATAATTAAGCATCTAATGCGCCGTAAAATAAAGTTCCGTTTTTTCCTTCAATTAACGCTTGAATTAATACATCAATGAGTCCTAATCATCTATATATTAAGCGAAAAGGTATGTTGGTTGTCAATACTGACAATTTGAGTTTGCAACTCAATACTTCATGTTTTATCAAAACTACCTAGTATTTTGAATACATGTTGTCCAACCGTCCTTTCGGACTTTATAAAAGGCATTTATGAGAATTGTATTTTAGAAATGCTTTACTTTTCTTTGAGAACCATTCTCAAAGATTTCCTTTACCAATCATGGAAAGCAATACAGTTTGATTTGGAATTCTACAAATATAAGAGCAAAGTATAACCATTTATCAAGTAAATAACATAATAAGTTTGAAAATTAAAAGGTATTCATGTAAATCTTCAATCTTATTAAACGTCTTATGCACGCATTAAAATTGTCCCCATTTGGCGAGAATAAGTCGATTCCAAGATCCGAAGAAACAAAGAGTGATTAAGCATGCTTTGGCTTGTCTTAACACTCAATCTCCTAAGGTAAGTGTTGGGGTTTGGTGAGTCTGACTCACCGTGGAAACAAACCTCAACCCAAGGAACCACTCGCAATAATTAAAATCATAAAGCATAAATAAATAATCACTAAGAAAAGATAACGAATCTTACCCTCGAAGCGAGCTTCGCCCAAAAACCGGGGATCTTACTCGAAAGCTACGAGCACGTCAAGCGCCGCACCTCCAACGGTATCCACCCACAAAAAAGCGAACACAACTTTAAGGTCTACTACCTGGGGGTTAGTGAGGTCCGACCAAAACCCGAGTGTTATATGAGTTTAAGAGTTTTTCCAATATTATGGAATGCTCTTTTTAACTCCCACTCAAGCATCATTTCCAATGCCCAAAGTTGGGTATTTATAAGGAATGATGGAGTATGAAAATCTCTCCCATCAATGTGGGACAATGAGATTTTCTCATTTTATTTTAAAGCTAAAATAAAATTATTAAGCAAACTATTAATAAATCAACAAGTGTCAAGCATACATGAGAGAGTAGGTGAGGACCACTTGGAGATGGGGACCAAACTTGCTCCCTATCTCTCCCTCACCATGTGCCACATGGCAATCCCACTTACTCCCATATTCCAACCTTCCCCCTTATTCACGACCCTATGGCCCGAGCCAAGCCACGAGCCAAGCCCGAGCCCGGCCCGAGCCCAGCCCGCACCTGGCCTGCACCCAGCCCGCACCTGGCCTGCACCCAGCCCGCACCTGGCCCGAGCCCAGCTCGCACCTGCTGCTGCTACTGTGGCGTGGTGCGACTGCTGCCGTGGCGCGGCGCGGCTGCTGCTGTGCCTAGCCGCGGCTGGCCGTGGCTGCCAGCACGGTGCGCCGGCTCGTCTTGCCCCTAGCATTCGGATGCTCGGGGCACTCCGATGCTAGGGGTATGTTCGGGAATATTGTTGATTTATTATTATTTTGCGCGTCTCGTCTTTTATTATTTAGACTCGACTTTCGACGATCGGTTTCGACGCTCTAAGCTCGAATTACCGACGTCTAATTATTTAACACTCGGGCGACGAATTAATTTCTTTCGAATTAATTCGTCGAGTTGGTTCGCATATATTTGCTTAGGTGTGACCCGAAGGGTTTAGTCAAGATTAAGCTGTAATATTAATTATATTAATATTACTGATCGGAAGCGGCCTCCACCCAGGCATTCCGATCACTTGACCTTATTGAATATATTAGCTTTCTAATAATTCTGAACCCGCTATCAGAATAATACACTTGTTCGAAGGGCACTATTCCTTTCAGTAAGCAACGCTTTGCTAATGGCTCCAAGCCACTCTTGGTTGAATAAATTGTCGCATCTAATGCTCTCTCAACAATTTATTCACTTTGCCACGACATGATAGGACTTCATCACTCATATCGTTGAGTACAACCAAAACCAACTTGCATACCCGGTATGCCTTACGCTCCTAGGAGAGGTAGTGATGCCTCGCTTTGGCTTAGCCCGCCACTACCCTCGTTCGGCTGGTAAGTGTTGTTTTGGAATGACAAGTTTTTACTAAAAATTTAGGGACCTAGGGTTTCTATGTTGATTGATTTAAGTGAACTTAATTAATCATCACAAC